GAACCGGGGGGGGAGGTCTTGTGTCGAACGGGACCAGTTGAACTTTGCCCTAAAATGTTTTCCGAACGCTCAAGACGACGCAAGCACGCTACTCACTTGGCCAAGGGGCAGTTTTTATAGGTAGGTACTCCACTCCTCAACAGACAGTTCTATTGAAATAATGTAAAGCTGTGGAGATGTATACGAACACATTGATCATCGGTCCTTGGAAGGTATGACGGTGATCGAGGAACTATTAAACGAAGATTTGATCGATGCGTCCGCAACCGACGCGAAACCCAGTCAGCTTTTTATGCGTATTGTACAACTTCAAAGAACGACGAAAGCTAACAGGATATACGCTATTCGTCCTGCGGTTGGCGAAAACACCGCGGGGGCACATTTGAAAGATGGAAACAATCGATTAACCCACCCTTATTCACGACGAGGAAACCTGTTCGATGTATCAAGCCCTGGAGAACAGAACGCGCAGTTATCAAACAAGCAATATTCCACTCACTTTAAATAAAACTGGGGAAAGACTGGCGTAACCTGGTCTCCGCGACATTCCAGAATTGGATTGGCCTCAAAAAGTGGGTTTGTTGAGACAGATTATTTATATGAATCTCCGGCGATGTACATCAACCATATACACGCATGTACTCAAGTTTACAATATGCATTATGCAAACTCACTTGGATGTTTCTCGATGGATGCCCGTACAAATAGTATACTATCATAAAAGCGATGCCCGCCAGGAACGAAAGAGCGACACAAATCGGTAGAACCCAGTCCGGGAGTGCATGAATCCACGGAGATAACTTGCTCGATCGAAGTAGCCACTGAGGCACAATGGGTGTGGTCGCGGACCGGGAGGTCGCGGATAACGACAGCCAAGACCAGACCCAAGTCATGGATGCATTCTCCAGACCGATTAGCGAGTACCAAATCAGATAACTCAGCCGGCTATGACCCTCGCGCACATTGACCACATCAAAGCAATACACGGCACCGAGTACCGTGTCGAACAGGAATTCCGTTAGGGTGTGAGGTTCTGGTGAGCAGAAGGTGGTTCCACGGGCTATCAGCCACATAACTGAAATACACCAATGAGCGCCCAAAGCCAACCCGAACCATAAACTATGAACCACCGCAGCGAACAACGCCAGCGACAGGAGACGCGAGGCGAGCATGCCTGCTTTCCAGCCAAAAAAGCAAATCGATCCAGACCAACGGAGATTGGCTTTTTCCACCCGGGAACTACGTAATGCTGACTGGTAATGTGTCAAGCACCAGGCGAGTGACAGCCACGAAGTAGAACATGACACAACCTGCGCAAGAACTGCAAGCGGGTGTGAAAGGGTGACCAAAATGACAGTGAGTTACGACTGAGCATTAAATTAGTTAGTGGCTAGGAAAAGTCATTAAAGCCGTTCTAGTGCTTTCGCTATGCAGTATACAGGTTTTTGTTGATTCTAAACTTAGTGAATTTAGATACCAAAATACAACCAATAACTTATCGTTAGGCTTTTTCATATAGGAGTCGTCTGTCAGTTCGACTGTGGCATGACTTAGTTAGTTCCTCACAAGACTGTTCTTCTATCGATCACACTGACCTAGAAAGATCCGTCTTTTCACTCTATATTCAGACAAATGTGGAGTGAAGCGATATCGAAAAGTAGTTTCCAGTGATATGCATTGGTCTAAATTATTGTTGAAGGACTTTTTGAGGTTTGAATACAACTACTGTACTCTAATATATACTGAGAACAAACCATAACAGAAATAATTGTTTGTTAAAGCTCACAAATGAAAGTCAGCAATTTCTTTCAATGCTAAATGACGAGTTTTGANTTTAACTTTCATCTGCAACAACCAAATTCTCCTCAAGTTCCGTGCAAAAACTAATGTTTCCGAATTAGTATTTCAATATTACAGAGAGACCGCTTTGTCCAAGATACAAAATAATCGTGTGTAATTGTTTTTCTTGTATCTGTGTAGTTCAGCGTGATTTGTCACTGACATACAACAGAAAAGGACAAATAGAACTTCACTGATGGGCATCAGATGCACACCGTACGTGCTGATATGAAACAAGTCGGGTTAAAAGAGGGAAAGGAAAATAAACCGCAACAGTCAACTGCCATGTCTTAAGTGTCTCTGGGCCTTCGGTTAAAAGATCATTTGGACCACACACCCGAGTATCAGTTGCACTTACTTTACCCATACTCTCTCTTCGTTTCGGTTATTTTTGTCTCCACATGGCTATCTACCTATACGCCGGAGCTGCAACTACGATAGATAATTGTCTATCACCACTGCGTTTAAATGGCTGTGTCGATAACTGAAACACCATCACATAACGTGANGGTAGAAGACAAGGCTGTCGTGGAAAAGCAGGAATAAACAAATTTATGAACTGTCAAGGAACGCGATACACATGACTCACTCTGAAAGGTCTGTTTGTGTTTCTCTTGAGTGAAAATAATGTACAATTGTAGAAGCAGTTGCGGAGCAGCCTCCATGAAACATTCGATCATACGAAGCATAGCTGAATCTGCGTCTTCGTAGAGCATGAGTTGGGTATAATGGACCGCCATGGCCAGGCTAACGTCGGCTTGTCGACTGGCTATTCCGTAGTAAACTGCATCTGCCAACCTGCAAGGGAGTTTAAATCGCAGCGGGGTCACCGAGGAAAATTAATTAGTTGTTTCAGAATCAAGTAATCTACCGAATGGGGAAAATGTTAGAAAACCAGTTCCTCATTATCCAGCGTGGTTAAGGTTTTGAGACACCTCTTGAGATCATTAATTATGCAAAACATTTGCGTGAATACATTGAAAGTGATGTTAACTTTACCATGGGAACGCGACTCGCTTTCGGATAACGTAGATCGTGGAACGGTATATCGGACAGAACTATCGTTCTTTATCATGCGCTTTCATGCGGCGGTTTTAATTTCCGCTCTTTGCTGCTTATTTGGATGAAGGAGTCAAGAAAAAATGGGCATGTTGAAAGAAGCACTTAGGTGAAAACAGAGGATTTATGACCCAAGTTAACTGTTCCGACGATGACTTATAGCGACTTCAGAAGGCACATTTTCCACCGTAAAATAATCACTGCGCATCAGAGTAACCTCGATCTCGAACGTGAAATACCATTCTCCATCTCATTCCATAAAATCAGTTGCTATCTACAAATTCCATCAACGAAAACAGAACTGTAGAGAGGGAGCTGGGCGATTAAACACATACCAGTACAGGTTGAACGTGAATAGCAATGATTGAGTGCTATGAAGACAGCTAGTCCCTTCAGCCCTACATCCTGTTTCCTTACACACTCAAACACAACAACAGAATCGCTAATTTGACGCCATTTGCACCACATCAAGCTGACTAAGCAGTGTCTTTTCGGATATTTTTATAACTTTAATTATAAACAGTTAATAATCCATAGGTGTTCTTAAAGCTTAACTTTAATTATCAGTAGACATTAGGGCAAACAAGCATCAATTGTCCTCCTGTGTCAGCACAAATATGCCTACGTTATTGCTGGAGTGGTAGGAGATTAAATGTCAACGGGTAACACAGCACAAACAAATTTTATGGTGAATTTCTAGATCAAGTCACACTTAATATGTAGGACCAGAGGCTTTCACAAAAAAAATCAAATGAAAATGCAAGAAAATAAACAAATCCGTGTATGGTACTTTATTGACCAGCACGTTTTACAGTACATCAAATATGGAATGGGTGGAGAAACTCCAGTCTAACATCTGACTAGGATAGGATGACATTGCATGCACAGTGTGCAGTACGAAAGTAGTCACGCAGTTATGTACTACTGACGCGTTGTCAAAAGCATCATTATAAAATCCACTTTATTCCAACTGAATCTATTCATTCACACGTGAACCTGTAGCAACTCACCTGTCAAATGTCCACTGGAACTACTAATACCATCATTAATTTTCCTGTAATAAGTTGGCACTTTACGCTGGAAAAGATAAATGTGCATGTGTCAATGTAAGATTTCGATATCAGTGATTGCTCTTATTTTGTGTCCTATCCTCCATGCTCCACGTGAAACAGACCGCTGTGCGAAACACAACGAAAAGAAAAACGCGCTTTATTGTACAGGTGAGGAAATATTTGAATCTGCGCTTTACATTTCCATCACTTGAAACATTGGGTCCCCTTTATCCAATTCACATTCATCGCAAAATATCTCATGGCAACTGGACA